AGGAAAGTGGATATATTTTTTTAAACAATGCTTGAGGCGTGATCTACAATCGACATCGAAGCCAAAAACATGATTTTTAGAATTTTTGTCTGTTTGTCTGTATGTATGTCCGGGTTAAACTCAAAAAGTACTGTATGGATTTACTTCAAATTTTGCATGAATATTACTAACAGGTCGGGTCAATATATAGGCTACATATTATCACGCTATCGTCTACGGGGGAGGAGCTGCGAATCACTATTCCTCGCGGACGAAGTCGCGGGCACAGCTAGTGTTAAAATAAACGAAAATATTGCCGTGCAAAAGATATTTTAGTTAAATCAGAAAACTTACTAATAAACTGGTCCAACTATGGTTGAATTCTTAAAGAGTTACGGTTCATTTCATCATTTATAAGCTGATGTATGTTGTTTCCAGATTATCATCAAAACGTCGGTATGGCAGTATGTCGTCCCTCCCCTCCAGCTCAGTGAGCAGTCGGCCTGTGAGAGACAAGAGACGAAGTTCCAACGAACACAGGAAGAAACATGACCTGAAGGTACAATTACTGCTAAAATGTCATTAAAATATCTTTATCTTAAAATAATTTTCTTAGTTACTGTAATATAATGTTCAATGCTGCCTCGGTGGCCGAACGGTCGCAAGTGTGACTGCCGGGCAAGGTGTCTCGGGTTCGATTCCCGGGTCGGGCAAAGTTATACTGGGTTTTTAAATAAAATCTCAGTAGTAGGACGAAGTCTGGAATAGGCTCACCCCCTATTACATGGGACTCATAACATAAATAGTGAAAAGTGGGTGTTACATTGTACAGTGGCATTAAGTGCCGTAATGTGCACCTCTGCCTATCCCTTCGGGGATGAAAGGCGTGATATTTTGTTATGTTAGTCTTCAGTCATTGGTTATTTTGTACTTTTTAAAAGTATATTATTTAGTCTCCGTGATTAACGGGTATATTTAAGAACCGATTATCGTAATCCAAATCAGTTAGCTCTAGAACAACCAATTTCATTTTTATTGACAGTATGCATAGATAAGCAATTGCATTATTTTACCTTATCCTTCTTCCGCACCGCAGGGTATAAACAAGCGGTTCCAACGCCTGGAGTCTCACGTGGTAACACTAGCGCGGTCAGTGGCACACCTCTCCAGTGAGATGAGGACCCAGCACCTCGTCATGCAGGAGATGGACAACATCAGAGCTGAGATAGCAGCCCTCAGGCATATGTACAAGTAAGTATACACTCGGTTTATCGGTTTAATTAGCTGTCCATTAATTTCAATGAGACTCGAAGATATCTTCGATCTCATTGAAAGTCTCATTGATACGGAAATTCCTGATCTTAGGTAATTACGAAATAACCGTACATTTGGAGTATAATAGCTGCGTTCTGCGCGTGCGTTTTACGGCATTGTTATTAGGTTGACATGTAACTAAATATGACGTTTTTTTAATGGCATAAGCCGGTAAACGAGCAGACGGATCACGTGATGGTAAGCAATCGGCGTCGCCCATGGACACCTGAAACACCAGAATCGTTTGGGGATTAGGAGTTTCAGGATCGTTGGAGATTCAGGGATTGGGGAGATTGCGGAAAGGGAGGGGTTTTTTTTATTTTAAGGGGGGAAAATCATCGAATGACTTCTCCTGCCTGGGTGAGGCGGGAGGGAGTGTCAGACTCTTACTGACTAAAAACCACCCCGTTCCTTCTCCATTGCGTCTTTATCAATTAGTGTTGCTGTATAATATAGATACTTACAAATTACAAAATGAACTACCACAAAACCATATTCAGGTATCACCGAACTGACCTTACTCTAAAGTTCTAATAAAAAAATCTTTACATTTCCAGGTCTCAACAGTACATTCGTTCAGGCAGCCACGGCCGGCACTTAGACCCCTACTCGTTCAGCAATCCTGACAGAGTGAAGCGGCTCACCAAGTTCTTCGGAGACGAGCCTCCTCTCATGAGACTGTTCCTCAAGAAACTTGGATATGAGGTAAAAAGTCAACATTATGATGGATGTAAAACAAAACTAATCATTGAGATTACGTTTAACTAAACGTGAGCACTGCTTGTACAAATAGCATCACGATTTTAACTGAAATTTACGATATACTCACGCAAACTATCGAGGGAAAGCTCAAATAGTTTCAAGTCACATCGGGACCCTTGTTCATGAGTTGAATGTTCGGTGAGACGACAAGCAGTCATGTAACTCACAAATCTCACCTGTTATTCTCCACGTAATTTAACAAACTAGGCAGGATGCAAATATCTTTTTTTATACCACGACGGTGGCAAAAAAGCACACGGCCCACCTGATGGTAAGCGGTTACCGTGGCCTATGGACGCCTGCAACACTTGGGGCATTACATGCGTCTTGCCGACCCTTAAGAAACCTATTCACTCCCCTCTAGAAGAACCCCATGTTGTAGCGCACTGGGAAAACCACGGCAGGGGTTCATCCTACAAACGGAGGGTCCGTGGGAGAAAATTTCTATGAAACCAAACTTTACGGGACCATTTGGGCTCCAATGTGTGAGCGTGACCTCCCTGTCGATGGCTAGCGGTGCGATGATAGAAAGTCTACCTATCTTATACAAAGAACTATCTATACTTAATCACTCAATTATTCAAATATTCGATTTCCTTTTACAGAAATACGCAGCACTATTGGAAAAAGAGAAAGTTGGTGCTGCCGAACTGCCCTACGTTGGTGAAGACAAGCTTCGAGCTTTAGGTGTTCCCTTAGGACCTAGAATGAGGATACTGAAGGAAGCTGGCATCCACCAGGACCTGCACCACATGCCCAGAGATGACCAACATAACACAACCACCACGCTAGCAATCGTTTGAAATTGAACTCTATGTTATTGAGTTAAGGACTACGTGTTGTTGAGAAGACTGAATCTGTATCGAAGTAGCTCAATAAGGCGTGTATTATAGTTTGTAATTAGCTGTATTAGTGATAGATACTGTGAAGATAACGTTGATAGAATGAAAATAGGTTTTATTATGTGAGGCAGAAAGTTACAATTTCAATGATCACTTAAGTTACAGTAATGACAAAATTTTAATTTGGTTTCGTAATTTTGAAAACAAGAGAAAAAATATTTTACAAATTTTTGAGAAAACTGGCGAATACAGTGGCCTATACTTGAGTGTCGCCATTTGCTAGTTCTATTAAAATTTTCCAATGAACATTGAACTAATACTTTTATTTTAAAATTATATCATTTATCGAATTTCTTTCTACGTTGACATCATTTGTATTTACGGGTATTTAACAATGAACAACGAAATCAATGCAACGAAACACGACATTTCAATTTTCCTGGTATTTCATAAGATAATAAGAGCATTAAATATCTGTTTATGCGTTTCAAATATTCAAAACAATTCATTATATGCGTTGTTGTATATTATTTATATATTTTTGTCATATGCATGGAAACCAGCACATAAAGCTATCCCAATCTATTTTAGATTTGCAACTCTACTCACGTGAATTTACGGTCGAAAATCTATTGAAGAAATTCGCCAGGTTGGAATATACCTATTGATGTGATGTGCGTCTGCATGTATTTGGCCTAACGACAAGCATCAAATTTATCAGCATTCAGAAAGTAAATACGAAGCTTTCAAATGTGCAAAGATAACTGTGCTTTATTGTAAAGTCTTAAAGTCGAAAACAGCTTGATAGGAAGCCGTATTATTACTTAACTATATGTGACTGAAATAATCAGAAGTTATGTAAAGGTCTATAAAATATCTAAATGTAAACAGAAAGTATTATAAAACTTATTAACTGCTGTACCTAATTTATTTCTATAGGTATTAATTACAGTATAAAATTACGTTAATTTTTGACAATTATAGTGTCAAGAATAAAGCTAAGGCTTCGGAAATCATTCATAGCTATAAGGAATATAGGAAGGTATCTTTCGCCAAATACCGTTTACTAAAAAGGAAATTAATAACAAATCACTACCCATGATTTAAATGAAAATTGAAACCGCTCACATCAAAAACATTACGAGGTTACTCGATCAGTTTCAAGCTACACTAAGGGCCTATAATCACGAGTAGCATGCGCGACTCGCTACAGCTTCGATCAAACTAGTTTTTGAACCTGACTCAGGTCATATTTATAGTTCATTTTAGACTCCAAGGCTATGAATACAACAAATCCATGTAACTTGACCTAAAATAATATAAAAAATGAGATTGTATCTATAATTTAGTAAAGTATAATAAAGTACTCAGAAATGATATGCCAAAGAGTTTTCTCGGCGTATGTAAAAATATGTATTAAATTGTATATAATAGTTTGTAAATAGTAATATTAATTATAAGTTAATTTAGTCGGTAGGTACATGAACAACGAATTGTAACAACGTACTCAGTTTTATAGTAATTTTATTCCCTCTGTATATTTGGGGGATTTTTATGTAAATATAATATGAAATAAATATATTTTAACTGTAACAATTTCTTTTTTTACGTCTATTCTAGGTATATAAAACTTTCGAACCATTTTTTCTGTTTGCAAGTTCATTAGCTGTAGCGATTTCATTTTAGTGTTTTTCATAGACGCCTATTTATTCATACTATAATCTTATATCTGGATATACAGTACCAATTTAATTTAGTACTCTAGTACTCGATTTGTTTAGACAAAACTAATACAAAGTATAAATTGTACCGGAAAACGATAAATCCGTAATCCACATTACTAAGAAATCATTAGCATTAGCAAATGAAGTACACAATCAGTGCAAACTGACAACAAATGCACCTAAATACAATATACTATTAGCAAATAGCATGCATTAGGGCGCCGCACATTGACCGCCACTAACTCAACTCAGACACAATAAACAGTGTCATTTATTACAGTTTATCAGTGACACGACGACGTAAGGTCGTAATGTCATCTACGTCTTAATATAATCGTCCTGTTCTGGTCGACTGTCGTCACTCGTGTCCGTCGCCATCATGGCTGTCCTACGCGTAGTCCTCCTCACGGCCCTCCTCGCCACAGCTCTCGCCGATGATGCAACGTTCGTTAATTGTTCTGACTGTAAGCATATTTTACTTTATTTTAATCTTAAATTTTGAGAGAGTGCTTATTTTTTTTTGTAACGTGCATGATATGAAATATTTCAAATTCGATCAAAAGAAATACAAGTTAGGCTGTAAAGCTGGTCAACAAACTTGGAACTTTAAATTTAATTAGCCTAAAAATGTAAGGAGGTTGACTATTGAATTTTGGCAAATAAACATTTATTATTATTATTATATTATTAATTGTTGCTTTTTGTAATTGGGAGTGAAATTAAACTGTACATACATAGACACAGTACAATACATAGCGTCATATAAACTACATAGATGAAGCATCCTTAATAGAGATGGTATACAATAGAGTATCAGTGTTGGGGGAATTTATGTATTGAATAGTTCTATTATCATCATCATGCTCTTGCCCACTGCTGGACAAAGGCCTCCCTCCCCCTTAGTGAACGTGGAGGACTAATGGGGAGACCTTTGAATAGTTCTACAGTGGGCCTAAAAGTTACATTAAACTTTAGTACCTATATTAACAAAAGTTTGTGTAGCATCCTCCTGAGTCCAAACATAAGATATTTTGGTTTTCCCTAAATTAGAACAATAAGTAAACCTAAACCTAATACCTAAATAATAGACTCGAAAATCCTTTAAATTATAGACTTACAAAAAGTTTTCTTCGAGTCAGACTTTATTAACCGAGGTGGTTCCTTCTGCTAAAACCGACAGGGTTATATCAAAAAAAAATATAATTTATAAAAATAATTAAATATTAATTATTATTAGCAATTAAATAACAAAGTCAAAGTCAACATATTTTAGTTCAATTAAACCATAATTTGGTACTTTTGAAACGTCAACAAATACAAAACAAGTACCTAATAGTCTGTCACTCTATCCATCAGTGAAGCTAAAGCCTATACCTATCAATATGATCAACTAAAGAACTAATTAGTACCTACCAAGGTGCTAAGGTAACTATAATTTTTTTACCAGAACATTTATAACTAGAAAAATGCGGATAAATCCTGCTGCGTTTTGTTTACCCTCTTTATCAGATGACGTATTGACACTATGTACCTATATATTATAATATAGGTTATATAATTATGTAAAGTTATCAATAATATTATGAATAGTTTGAATGTTGTAAAACTAGTAGTCTATTTAGTCTAGGCACGTCACATAAATAATTATTACAATCACCATCTTGAGGTTGTGAAAACAATTCTATGGAATTAATAACTATGGAGTTTTTTTTTGTTTTGTTCTTCTCTATTTTCTGTGCGTGGATTAACTCGTTTAGTACCGTCATTATAGACACAACTAGCAAACCCGGCGAACTTCGTTTCGCCACCAGATGGCTTAATTTTATGTAACATTTCGTTTGGTGATTAGTGAATTTTCTTTGCTATAAACATGACGGAGCCCGAGACCTTTCCAACGAATGCAAAACCGTGGAAATCGGTTCGTGCGTTCTGGAGTTATAGCGTCAGAAAGGAAAACCCGACTTATTTTTATATAGTAGATTACAGAACAATAGGTTGCGGTCACCGGTGTCCTCGCGGTGTTTGACAGTTTAATTGAGATACTTTACTTTGAAGCAAGATAGGTAGGTAATGTTCTTTGCCACCGTGTTTTGTTTAACACATTGAATGCCGTGTTGGACTATAAGGCTAGCGGAAGATTAGCCTTTAACAGTTTTTGTCGACAGTCAAAGGCATAAGAAAATTCTCCTAACGAAACAGAAAAAAATACTGAAATTTTAAGAGTAAAATAAGGACTTGTAAAAGGAAAGCATTTCTCACTAATTTCAACCCAAAAAAGGGTGCAACAATCAATTTAATAACACTAAAATATTAAATTATCTTTCTTGAAGTCGGGGTCAAACGGCACGACACGCATATATTTACGCAAGTGCCTAAGTACAACAGTACTTGTGCTCCCTCTATGGTAATATCAGTGAACTTTGAGTCGGATGTCACTTGTAATCGTGATGATTGTCACAACACACGCACAATACACTGATAAAACTCAATTATTTTCTTAAATATCACTCTGAACTGTACATTTTTAGATAATAAGTTCATTAAGTGCAAACTTTAGTTTATAATTGTTTGTTAGATTAGGTAATTGTGATTAGGTACTAAATTTCATGACCTAGGCCTTAGTACGAATTTATATTACGTTAAAAGTAATCAAAACGAGACTGCCTTCGGCGCTCCGATTGGTTAGTCCATTGGTGCCGGGCAATCAGAGCGCCAAACGCGTTTCGATTACTTTAAACGTGAAACAAACTTGTCAATACCTACCTACTACACTTCAGAACAGTGTCAATACCTACCTACGTTTGTCATATAATTGTACCAAATTGTACTTTAATCGTTTACTATTTGTATGGATGGACTCCGTTCAGAGAAACTATGACATCTTCACCAAGAAATGCCATGGTTCTCTAACTTTAGTTTTGTCCAGCCTACTTCTGTATGCCATCGCTACATTTATCAGCCCTCTAGGTGCCATTCATCATCATTAAAATCATATTACACAAAAATGTGACATTATTTATTTATGCAACAAAATTATTTTGACTGCACGCGGTTGACGCAGGCCGCAGTGGTTGGGGTGACCGGCTGTTGTGCAACGTGTCGTGTGTTCAATTCCCGCGCCGGCAAAAAGTAATAATGGCATTTTCTGAGTAAAATGACCATTATCGGCCCGTAGTCAGGAAGTTCGGTGGTATTTTACCCCCGTGCCTCTAAAAGCCATCCCATCGGCTTTAGAGAGTGAGGGAACAAAGAGTGCACCTGTGTTTGCGCTCACACTTGTGCACTGTGTGATATGCCCTACCACACAGTGCACAGTGCAGTGGGCTAGTTAGAGACTAAGTAGTTACAGACTAGCCACAATTTTTTTCGATCTGTGTCCGATGATTTTTGATATATTTTGTAGGCAGTTAATGTCATGAGTATGTAAGAAAGATTGATATGTTCTCTATCTCTATTAATAGAGAGTTCATTAATATTTCAGCTGACGCCGAGGTGTGCCAAGTGTCGGCGGTGCGAATAACACCGTGCCGGAACCCAGGCAAATCCTGTACTCTCAAGAAAGGAACAGACGCCACCATTTCCTTTGATTTCACTCCAAGTAAGTTTAAACTTAACATAATTAATCGTAGTGTAAAGTTGTCACACACTGAGCAAGCTGCAGAGGAAGAGCTAAGCTAAGTTAGTTGGCATAGGAACTACAAATGGCGTGGGAACTAGAAAGAAAGAAAGAAAAAACATTTATTCAGCACCAGGCACGATGCAGCATAAATAAAATATAAAAAAGACAATAAAGGTATGATAGTAGAAGTAATAAAAACATAAGAGTTGAAAATTAAAACAGAAGAATTAGAAGAGAGAAGCTGACAACATGCCTATGCTAAAAGGGTCACCCACTGATCAACTACTGATCTGTACCTATCGATGATATTAATAAAAAAGATAAATAAAGTTAGAATGTCTGTATGTAATATTGAAATTACTGCTTTTCACTACATGCATATGAATATACATACGATAGTTACATACATAATTATATACACCAAAATATTACATTTTTTTCTGTCTATCTGTTTGTACTGGCCAATCTCTGAAATGGCTAGACCGATTCTGACAGGACTTTTATTGGGTGGTAGCTAATGCGCTAAGGACTAGCACACGCTACTTTTATTTTAGAAAAACGCAGACGAAGTTGCGGGTTCAGCTGGTATAACAATATAATACAAAAATGTTTCGTTTCTTTCAGACTTCAGTGCAAGCAACCTGAAGACGTTCGTTTACTGGGACAGTGGTACCGCTGACCTTCCGTTCGTGGGCTTTGGGTCCGACAACGCGTGCACATACACTACCTGCCCCAGCGTGGCTGGCCAGGCACAGACCCTCAACTACTCTCTGCATCTTCACAAGAAACTGCCATCGGTAATAACATTTGTTATACAATATTACCAATTTTTGTATTTTGCTAAGCACGGGTAATAATAATTAGATTAAACGACCAGGCAGATAACCTGATAGTAAGCGAACAGATTGTTATTAAATGCAAATCTTGAAAACGGTTGCACCGATATGGCTTATTCTTTTATAATATTTTTTTTATATGAAGAAAATAGATAATTATTCTTTGTGGTGCTTTAGTCAGTTAGTGTTATGGATATAAAGACATGTTTTGTCCTTTATCATACATTACTTACACATTTTAACTCGTCGAGTACCGGTTTTATAGACACAATTAAAGAACAATAGGTCGCGGTCACTGGTGACCGCTCGGTGTTTGACAGTTTAACTCGTCGAGTACCGGTTTTATAGACACAATTAACTCGTCGAGTACCGGTTTTATAGACACAATTAAAGAACAATAGGTCGCGGTCACCGGTGACCGCTTGGTGTTTGACAGATTAAAGAACAATAGGTCGCGGTCACCGGTGACCGCTTGGTGTTTGACAGTTTAAATAGGTAAATGAATAAAAACAATAGAAAATAAAATACTATTAGAAAACAGAAGGAAAGTTATGTTTTAAGAGGGAAAGTACAACGGCAAACTTTAAGAAAAATGTAATTAGAATGGCTATAGATAATTGTGACAAAGTTATTTAACCTCAAATTAACAAACTAACAAAGAAATATTGGTTGCCAAGACAAACGTATCGACGGTCTGACGAATGTCGAACAAAAAGAGCGCAGCTATGCCTTCGACACGTCTTTGATGCCAAATTAAATTTTCTTCTACCTTCAAAGATTCCCAACAATACACAATTCTTTCTAAAAGATGAAATGTAGATAGATTCAAAAACTAACTGTGAATAACATGTTTAATTTGTTTTCAGGGTAAATTCAAGTTGAAATGGAAGGTTTGGGATGACGACCAGAAGCTACAGTCCTTCTGCTGCTTCACCACCGACATTAAGTTGAATAAGTAATGTAATCGTATCTAAATAAATAATTATCTGTATATACTTACACATCTACTGTATATGTTGTTTCATTCATCACCGTAAACCTGCATAAGAAAATACTGCATTAGGAGCTTCCTCTACATATAAGAGTTTTTCATAATCTTCTCGGTTACTTCTTGGCGTGCCCGTTGGAGGTCGCTGTTTAAAATTAGCTTGGTCTCCGACAAATATTAATAACCACCACTGTTCAAAGAATCCAGAAATTTGTATTGCCATTAAATTCAAATTAAATTACAACCCCGATTATGAAAAATTCACAACATTTGTGCATACAAGAGTAGTCTCTAAACATCGGAAATAAGGTCTATAATGTAAAAGAGTAACCTGTGGAGTTTCTTGCTCGTTCTTCTTCATAGGAATCTTCACCTTGGAATGAGCAAATAGCTTCACTTTGAATTTTTTTGTTGACGTTCAAAAGTGCCTTTCTATATAAGTCTAATTGAAATCAATGATTTTGACTTTGACTTTGAATTAGTGAAGAGCGATCACCGGTTACCGCTTGGGCTGGCTGGTGGCTGGACAGTTAAGTAAGTCCACGATGAATATGATGATGATGAAGTAGAAAATCGATTCCCAGTTACCAAAGATTGATTCTTCTCTTCGTCTCATGTTTCGTGGTAAAATATTACAAACTCAGTTGGAATTACGTCTGCATAGATTTTATTCTTCTGCTCCTGACTGTAGATTTGATGTGTAAGATGCTATAAAATGGCCATCAGTTAGGCCTAACATTTTGAAAAATCTGAATTGAAATTATTATTTCTCTGCTGCCTCGTTGGCTGAGTGGTCGCAAGTGCGACTGCCGGGCAAGGGGTCTCGGGTTCGATTCCCGGGTCGGGCAAAATATTACTGAGTGTAAAAAAAAATCTCAGTAGTAGCACGGAGTCTGGAATTGTGCCCGGTATATGGCAATAGGCTCACCCCCTATTACATGGGACTCATAACATAAATAGAGAAAAGTGGGTGTTACATTGTACAGGAGCATAATGTGCACCTTTGCCTACCCCTTCGGGGATAAAAGGCGTGATGTTATGTTATGTTATAAATTATTATTTGGTATGAACTTGTTTTCTTAAATCTATACATATTACAAGTGTACTTACCATTATATTATAGTTATACAAATTATTTACCTAATATTAATATGGCCTCCGTGATTACGCAGGTGTTTTGGTAACTACGCGCATATAAAGTACAGTATGATCAGAAAAATGTTATAAGAAAAAATATTTAATGCAAAATATTACAAAAAAATAATCTATATCTATATACCTATATATAAATGAAACCCGTTTCCCGTTGTCACTTGAGAATGGCTGGATCGATTTTTTTTTTTGTTGTGTTTGTTATTGTCAGGAGAAGGTTCTTATGATATAAAAAAATCCTGAAAATCTTATGGGAACGGGAAAAAACGGGATTGCACGTACGAAGTCGCGGGCAGAAGCTAGTCTATATATAAAAATGATTCCCTTTTTCCCTTGGTCACGGCATCACGCGTGAATGGCTGGACCGATGTCACTAATTCTTTTTTTTTTTTGTTGTATTTGTTAATATTAGGAGAAGGTTCTTAAGACAGAAAGATCATAAAAATCCTACGGGAACGGGAGATAACGGGATTGCACATACGAAGTCGTGGGCAGAAGCTAGTAATATGATTATTCTATAAAATAATGATAAGGTCGCGGTCAATAAACTCATCTAAAAATAGCTGTTCATTGCCGGATAAGAATGATCCTATTAACTAATTGTAATTAGTTGTGTGACAAACAAGCTCTAGTTTTTGAACTAATACGACCTTGTTTTTATAATTACTATCGTTAGACATACTAAATTAACTAAAAATCGCGGGTTACTCACGTATAGGCTGCGCGACATTGCCGCGACCGCGCATGCTGCTTTTGAGGAAGAATATTGCCCTGCGGTTCGAAACTAGTAGAGATTTTCTCACTGTATTCACGTGAATAACCCACGATTTTAAATTAATTTAATATGACCTTTATAAAATTAATGGGCTTCACCCAGTTGTACAGTCTCTTCTTTGTGCCTTTAGGCTTAATTCATTCTGTCTCCTGCGGAAATTCACCGAGGGAAGTGGAAACTATAGTTTTTTCTTCTCCTCTTATAATATCTTCTGATTCATTTCGTTGCGGGAACCAAGACAGTTACTCATGTCCCTGGGACGCGCCGGACTTCAGTGTTCCGGTGTTTTCATGGTTGTATCTACTGTAGATCCTGGCTTACAGGAGTTGCAGCGGTTTTGGGAGGTTGTGGCGGGCTTGTCCCAAAAAAAAAAAAAATGACCTTTATAAAACTTAAAAGAAAACTCCAATTTAAAGGGTCGATAATGCACTAGTGACTTCTATAAACGCGTGCTCGATGTTCATCGTATAATTTTTTGTGGCACAAGCCAGTAAACGTACAGAGGGATCACCTGATGGTAAGCAGTCAGCGCTCCCCATGAACACCCAAAACATTAAAGGCGTTACAAGTGCATTGCCAGCCTTTTGGGGATTAGGTATTTAAGGATTGTTGGGGTTTTTGGGCAATCTGGTTGCTGCTTTGAATCATGTAGCATAAATTTGACTATTTACAAACCGTTTTCGGTATTTTGATTTGGTTGATGATGAAGTTTAGTAGTAAAATTCAAAGTGAGATATAGCCCTCCACTTTGCTTTGCTATCCGATAATCGGATAAATAAGACCAACTTTACAATTAATGTAATTATGTACAGATAAACAAACATCCCTATTAATGTCTAATTTAGTAATTGCCTATTTGTTTTAGACTTATTAGATACAGCTTAAACACTAATTTGCTAATTTGATCACCAAATCTTTTCACGTGTAGTACGAAAAAATGCGATATCTTTCAAAAATACTGAGGCACCGATAATATTTATACAATACAACAAAGAAATGAGCAAATCACATCTTTTTTTAAAACGTCTGATGGCCTCTTCTAAGAAAATGAATCGTATTTTCAATCCGGTTTACGTTATGGTAATTAATTCAGATTAAAAGGGCATTTTTCAATCTTACGTAAACTCGTATTCAGGTATTGCACATAGTAAAGTAGTGTTGAATCGCAAATCCATTCCAAGCGCACACTACTACGTGTGTGAGTGTACACGCATGCGTAGTAATGAGCAAACATAACATTAAACACAAAAGACCACATTCCCATTTGTTATCAATTACTGACATTAGCGGTCTAACACACTGTTGAGAAACTACAGAATACCAACTCGTAATGGTAATATGATTTTTATGTCGGTATTATAAAATATGATTGGCTAGGTTATGCCAGCGGCTTCGTCCACGTTCCCATATGAATAAAAGTATGTATATCATACCTATTTAAACCATCCTAAAGCCTATCTATGGTATCCAATTATGGGGTGTGGCCTGCAGATCGAACATCAACATTATACAAAGATTACAGAACACCATACTAAAACATTTAACCAATGCACCATGGTTCATACGCAATGATAAAGTGTATGAAATCCACCAAATTAATACAGTCATGGAAGAAGTTAAGCTACATGCCAGTAGATATGCATCACGGCTGAAAAAACATCCCAATGAACTGGCAACCCAACTCACTATGCCTGCATACACAAAGCGGCTGAAAAGACGAGACTTCATGTAACTTGGCCACCCAAACTCCTAGGCTGGCCTCGAAATAAGAGACTGATCTCTTAATGGAGAGATTCGTCTACAAGTCAAGAGACCGATTGCAAATAAACATACAACAAAAAAAAATACATATCATACCCATAATCTATCCCTGTTCCAAATTTTATCCCGTTCCCTTCACCCGTTTTGACGTGATTGGGTAACAAACATACACACAAATTCACAAACTTTTACATTCATAATACGAGTTCAGATAAACTGAGGGTCTGTTTTTTTTATATTTGATAGGCCGACATTGGACCACTATTTTGCCTGATGGTAAGCGATGATGCGGTCTACGATGGAGCACGTCTTCCTATAAGCAACCTATTCACCTTTATTACTTCAGCAGCAGCACCTAACACTAGTTAGTATAGTAGGAGTTCCCGCAAGTAACGCCAGATGCTGTTCTCAGCACCAAAATTCTACATAATTATGTTTGAAATATTTATTGCTCCTTTGTCCACAGCGTCTCCAAGTTTCCTTGTTCAAATTTTCCTCATGTCATTGTTAGATCAGCCAAGCTATTTTGTAAGATGTAATTTCGAACTTTCGAAGTAAGCTCGATCACCGTCCGCTATGTCTTTGGTTACGAGAATAATCTCGACCAATGACGCGTGAGAATACAATTGAGCTCACTTCGAGAGTTCAAATTGTCATTACCGTATAGCCTTTTTTTTAAGGGGGAAAGTCATCGAATGACTGCTCCCGCTCGGGTTGACGCTGGAGGGAGTGTCAGACTCTTACTGACTAAAAACCACCCCGTTCCTTCTCCTGCACGTCGAGCCGGAGCCCCGGTTACCCGTTAGGTTCTCCACGACATTACCGTATAGCCTAGAAGCCCTTGATCAAGTCACAAAGTAGAAGTTGAAAATTCTTCCACTTCTAGGTAAAATGTTTCGTATCCTACCTTCTAACCACCCTACATAGAACACTACTGGCCTGTAGATTGATCTAGTTGAATATTCAGTGACTAAACGGCAAATAACATTCCATATGAATATCCCAGGAGTTATGCTTAAAATCACAAACCTTTAAAACATATCAAATGAAGGAGACACAATGGGTTAGCTTATAAATTCCTTTACGTGTTTTAGAACAAACTACTATTGTTATATTATTGAAACTAAGGAATTTTAGGTCCATAATGGACCTATCACTCGCACTCCACGTGACCTATATCAGAGACAGGCCACTAAACATACCAGTAATCTAAATATAGGTTCGGAATTTGTATTAATCTACTCTTACTCTAATAAATATTAGAAACAGGTTGTATAACAGGTTATACAATAGAGAGGTACAGCTACAACTAGGTAGGTATGCAAGCAAGTAGCCAGTCTAAAACGATCAGAATCAATTCGTCGCAAAGAGTGTGTCGGGTGCGAAGCGCATGAGAGTGTAGCCAGTAACAACGCATTGTATCAACTTGTCCTTCTACTCCAATCTATTTTGCGGTCAATAGGACCATTATATTATCACAATAATAAGTTAGTGTACGTCGGGTGATAGCGCAGAGACGTTGCGAACATGAGGGCTTTCGTACTGCTCCTGAGCCTTGGGTTTGTGGCTGCCGAGTCGGAATATGTCACCAGGAAACTCTGCAGAGATGGTGAGTGGATTTTTTATACCTTCATCTAAATATTATAATCTTTCCTACTGGATTATAATTTTTAATAGGTGTTCGCAATAAAGGTGCAATATTGTTAGTCCTCGCTTCCTTTTCTATCGGATGTTGACCTATTTCGAAATGGGTCGCGCCATTGTGTGTTCATTAGGATTACCCTTGTGCAATTTTGTTCAATGGATTCGACATTGTGCATTTGAATATCTATTGCAGATTTGTTTTGGGACTTTATTGAGACATACCTTTTCTTCAAATCACCTTAATATTCTTCAAATCATATCAGTGAAAATATTAGTGAAGCGAAAAACGGAACATTCATTTCAAACTTAATTATGAGTAATTTTAATTGGTCTACTTTCCAGTGGATGCATCACAATGCAGCATCCACAGCGTGATAGTGGACCCCTGTCCTCAAGGACCTGCTTTCTGCACCCTGAAGAGGAATAAGGCATACGGCATCACACTGGATATGACCCCACGTAAGCTATTTAATATTTATCATGGCATTAGTTTGAAAACAAGATTTTTTAACACTTTCTGGTAATTTCTTCGAAAGAGCATTCCAGTGTCAGCTGCGCAGTTTGCAATGCAAGCGAACAAAATAGTTTCTTATGCGTTTACACTAAAAGTTGTAAATCGAAATAGTGTTTTTTTGTTCAATTGTGCCTCTGTGAAATCAACAACAGTATGACATGTGGAAATAAATGCGAATGTATTCAGAACCACGGACTCTAAAACAGTTTTGATTTTTTGCAAGTTCAATTTTCAAGGTCACGAGGACATTAACAGAGAACTATAGAAATACTTAAAGAATATTCAATTTATATAAGATTGTTTGCAGATTTCGCAGCAGAGAATTTAAGGCTTTCAATCACGAGCGATGTGAGCAACACTGGAAACTTCACAACCCTTATCAAGGCACCTGGCGATGCCTGTAAACTATTGACCTGTCCTCTTGAAGCTGATCAGAGAAGGATCTTCGACGTTGACCTGATGGTTGATAAGAGGTTCTCGGTAAGTAGAGCTAGTGATTCATTTTAAGATATAGGTATAATCTGTTTCCGAGGTCACGGGTAGGTCATCGCATAAGTACCGCAGCCCCAACGCGGAACACGAATAGGAATAGGGTAGTTTTTAGTCAGTAAGAGTCTAACCCACCGGCCTCATCCAATGTAAAGAAAGAAAGAAAGAAAAACTTTATTTCACACGCTAAAACAGGTGACACGTACAGATTTTACACATAAGTTTTTATAAGTACATCTACTAATGTCTCAAGTCTGCAGTGAAATGGGACCAGTTCAGCATGTGCAAGACAGGGCCTCGCGCTGGTATTCTGTGTTGTCGTAAAATTATGATCTTAAATCCGTAAAAAAAGAAAACTAAATATTCTGTTTGGACTAAATAAACGTTGATCTATTAGACCCTATTCCCCAAATTTTAAAAGATTTGCATTGCACCATGTTAAGCGAGCAAGGCATTTTAAAAATGAATACATTAGTTACACAGTGTCAGTTGTGTAGTAAGTGTCTGTAAGTGAATGTCGTACAATTGCATAATATGGTGTACCTACTTTTACTTGATACTTCAATCAGACTCGCAAAGGTTAATCTAAAGAGGTAGTGTCAGTCGCGGAGAACCTAACGGGTAACCGGGGCTCCGGCTCGACGTGCAGGAGAAGGAACGGGGTGGTTTTTAGCAGCATCCGTTACGTTTCAATAAATACATTCTGGATACGGGCTAGTGTAGAAAATTTGCGTCGTGACTCGAACAATCGGGATCGGATCATGTCATTTTAGCTAAGCACTGGCCTTTTTGCACCGTGTACATTGTTCTGTTTTTTTTACTTATTTTGCTTCTTTAAGTTCTGTAACGGTGCACATAAACTTTTTATCTTTCATTCTTTCTTTTTTCTTTCTTTCAAATATTAAAGACGAATATTTATCAAGAACTAATCTTCAAGAGTTACTTGTAACTGCTATGTTTCACTAATTTCAAAATCTCTCATAGTAGTAAGAGCCTGTTTCATAATGCTTGGTTAAGTTTCTGTTAGTTTAACTGATCTATATTTCTTACGAAAATACGGCAAATTATATTATCCGTCAGTGAGACACTCTTCATCATCATCATCTTCAACCCGTAAGAGTTCTTCAATCTTCTGGACTATTGGTGTCCTCTACAAAAGAGGGCTTTGCATAATTTCCACGCTGGCCAAGTTGAAAATCACAGTTTTTTTTGAAACGTTGCCCCACACTAGTGTTTTCTCCTGTGTCGTGGGTGCGTTTACAAACATACAAGTTCACATACACAATGACACCCAGACCCGAAACAACAATTTGTGGATCACACAAAGTGCTGTCCCGTGCGGGAATCGAACCCGCGACACATTGCACGGCAGCCGGTTGCCCAGCCACCGCGCAAACCGTGCAGTTTAAATGGAGTATGTTTATCATAGCACTTTATAGTCAGTTAATCAGTTGCACTCATCACGATATAATCAGACATTGTGAAACAGACCTTAAATGTAAACGACTATGAATTCATTTTGCATATATTACTTTAGGTGTACTTAGTTCATATGATGTTTTGATTTCCAGGGCAAGTTCCCAGTGAAAATAAAACTGTGGGACGACGACAATGATGCCTCCGCTTGTTGCGTCACCTTCAACGTTAAAGTTAAATAGATATAGTTATTGTATTGTAGTCATAAGCATTACCTAATTACTAATAATTAATATAGGTTTAGTTGTGTTTCCATTTTTGTGCTTTAATAGTTTATCAACATTATTATCTTTGAATAAATATTTTTTATTTAATTGTCTTCGTTTTTCTCTATTTAGTAGCTGTGAGTGCTTGCTTTATTAAGTTTCTTAGGCGTCCTATTCCTATTTACCTATGATGTCTAATGAAACTCCTGTACGAGCTGCTGTATCATGAAGTGCACTCCATTTCTCAATGAACTAATAAGGTTAGTATTTAGTCAGTCAGTAGCAGATACAGCAGATACAAATCTTTCTAAATACTTTGTCTTCTCTCTGTCATCATCAGTTAACTCCATAACGTGAAAGCTCGAAGGAGGAATAAGAACAGGATAGTTTTTGTCAGTATGAGTTGACACTTCCTCTCGCTTCACCCTAGACGGGAGGTATCATTGGATGATTTTCCCCCTCAAAAAAGCGATTACTGATTAAAAAATCCCACTCATTTGTTGTTCTCAACCAGTTTTGAGTTATGTTTTATTAAGTAAGTAAGTAAGTAATATTATTAAGTAACGACATGTCTGGATATTATGTAATATCCGTCACTTGAAAACAGGCCGTGGGACATTCTCATGTTAATCTTTTCAGTCTTCGATTTTTATTTAGTCTTACGTCTGGATTATAAAAAATTATCTTCGAAGCATGTATTATAATGTTTCTCTTTTTTGATGACCGGGGAAACCTTCAAAGGGGGCCTATCCTTTTTGGGGATAAAGGACTAGGGAGTATGGGATTTGTACCTCACTATAACCACCCCAGTGGCCACACTAAACACCTGAACGGAGGCACCGGGTCCTCTAAAAGAGACCTGTTCTGGAGCCTCCACAGTACAATGCCTGTTACGACACATTCCTAGGACTATAATGTAATAATGTATCTAGTTCATTTTTAACCTTGATTGCCTAAACGTAACCTTATAGTTTGTAAGACCAATGCTAACAGACACAAAACTTAAACACAAAAGTAATCTCCAATTTGCTAAACGTCTTTCGGATAGGTCTTTATGCATTTAGTTTTTACCAGCTGTTGCCCGTGAATTCGTGTGTAGAATTTGAGTTTTAGGTTCAAACATTTATTTGCTTCCATTTTCCACAATAAAAGTAGCCTATATGACTCCTTAGTACATCAGCTATCAGCCCATAGAAGTCGCACGAAAATCCGTTCAGCCATTCCAGAGATTAGCCAGTATAAACAGAGAGACAGACAAAAATTATAAAAAAAATGTTTTGATATGTGTATCGTATGTTTTTTCATATGCATGCAGTAAAAAGCGGTTATTTTAATATTACAAAGAGACACTCCTATTTTATTTTACTGTATACATAGATATATAGATGACAATAAGGTTTCTTACAAAATATTCATCAACAGCCATCGTGAGGAAACCTAAGCTTATAATTTCGAATTATAAGTTTGGAATCACCAACCCGCATTGAGCAAGCGTGGTGATTAATGCTCAAACCTTCTCCGTCTGAAAAGAGGCTTTGCTCAGCAGTGGGCATTTATAGGCTGTTGATGACAAAATATTTATTTTTTGTAAATATTATAATAGTTATTTAGAGTGCAAACAAGCTCAAAGGTAAGAGGAAGGCGTGCGGTCACAATAATTTAACTTTCTCAGAGGTCACGGTATCGGAGCGAGGCGCGAGGGAGGTGAATGCTCGCGCACAATAAGGTTCATTCTTATTAGATATGCCAGCCACCGGGACCGTCAGATTCGCCGTAATGTGTCGAACGTTTAACAACAATTCTATTCGAATGTGGAATATGAAAATTCACATTAGTGTGTAAGCTCGTCAGCTATCCTTACTGAACGATCAATCTGCGATATGTAGGACTGTTTATCTAATATATATAATCTAATATATAATACATATCTATCACAATAAAACCTAAATAAATTAGATATAAAACTATTAATAAAGTTATCACATCTTGCCAGAATGTTCCAAATCCGTAACTGATAATTTTAATTTTAATATGCGATCTGTTTATTATTATGTTTTTGGCTTACTCACGTAATTATTTGACGAGGAACTCGACTTGTTTTAAATGGATTTGTTTATGTTTCAATTGGATCTCTCTTAGTACCTACTTATTAGTTACAAAAAAAATGGTGTAACAAAAAATGCTCTCGACTATCAGCAAACAATCCAGTCTTTAGGTTGCGTCGTTACGGGTTACCGGGGCTCCGGCTCGAAGTGCAGGAGAAGGAACGGGGGTGGTTTTTAGTCAGTAAGAGTCTGACACTCCTGCCTAACTCAGGCGGGAGTAGTCATTCGATAATTTTCCTGTTGCAAGTTACAGATCATTTTCTTTGCAATATATTTCATAACTTTTCCATTACCTTTTAGTCTAAATAAACATCTTAGAAAGTATTTCACTGGAGTTGATTGCGATAAGAAATGTAATAGTTTTGTATGGAAATTAGATATTATTATAAATGTTCATTTCTATTTGTAATCTGTAACAATGTTCGATCTGCTATCGCGCCATCAGCTGTTACGTCGACACTATTGAGATGTTAACATATTAAGTAGGTAAATACTTTATATATAGTTATAATGTGAATATTAAATAAAAAAAACAGTACTTTACATGTATTTGAAGTAGGTCTCGGTTTGGGCTTGGACAAATCATTACTTTTAAAGAAAAATCCAATATGACCTTCGGAATTCCTTACCTGGGCCTTTAGCCAAACGCCACGTTAGCGCTTGTCTACAGAGAGAGTAGAAAACTAAATGTATGACACTGACAAGTGTCAAAATTTCCGTCAATTCCATATAATTTGGTTATTTATTCTACATGTAGACAAGCGCTAAATGACATTTGGCTACAGCTGCAGGATAGACTATATCAATCTACTTATATCAACAGACTCTCCTGTTATACCTATAGGACTCTAGTGAAAAGTGGGTATTGTATGTACTAAGGTACTGTTATATATTTTTGTTCACACCAATTAACAGGTTCCTTTCTCACAGATTAACCTGATTAACATACTCAATCGTTAAGGATATGGAAAATATACATTACACAAAAATAACACATACGATAATAATAATAACAGGAAATAACGAAACCAAAAGATACTAATAAAGTATCAGTTACTTATAAAATTACAATACGTCACATAACCTCACGACTTTCATCCTCGAAGGGGTAGGCAGAGGTACACATTACGGCGCTTCATGCCACTGTACAATGTAACACCCACATTTCACTATTTATGTTATAGGGGGTAAGCTTATTCCATATACCAGGCACAATTCCAGACTCCGTACTACTATTGAGATTTTACCATGCCATACCAAAAATCCTTACTTCCTTACTTATATTCCTTATTACTTACTTATATATTATAAATCGGAAAGTGAGTTTGTTTGTTTATTTGTTTGTTCCACTTTAACGCCGTAACTACTAAACCGATTGCTTTGAATTTTTGCAGATGTATAGTTAGAAGTCCGGATTAAATAATAGGGTACTTTTTATCCCGGAAAAATTTGATATTCCCGAGGGAAAACAAAAATATTTCACATTGGCTTTTTATCCTTTTGTGACGCGATCGAAGCCGCGGGTAAAAGCTAGTATATATATAAAATTAAATAAAATACAACTATAGGACAGTAGATAACTACAGAACAAAACACTATCAAAATTCAATTCGCACATTCTATCTAAGTTATCGGTGTGTACACAGCCTAACTTTAGCTTATTAATCAGACGTCCAATCGTAATCTAGACAATTAAAAGTGTCTTTATTACTAGCGTTAGACATAAAAGAACAACCACTAATTTAAATTGAAACTATCACTTTATATTTATTGTCATGATAAATAATACTTATGTATAGTTAAAAGTTGCATAAGTTGAACTTTTCATTTGTAGTATAGAAAGTGTTAGGAGGTATCACTTGACAACGGCCATTGTTAAATCGACTAGACTATCTCTATTCGTTTGTTTTTTCGACGACTTAACTGACTGCTCTGGTAAAATTTATAACATAACATCACGCCTTTTATCTCGGAAGGGGTAGGCAGAGATGTTCATTATGCCACTGTAGTACACCCACTTTTTACTATTTATGCTATGAGTCCCATGTAATAGGGAGTAAGCCTATTGCCATATACCGGTGACAATTCCAGATTCCGTGCTACTACTGAGAATTTTTGAAAACCCAGCAATACTTTTCCCGACCCGGGAATCGAACCCACTTGGCCAATGAGGCTGTTCGATAAAATTCCTAGTTATTTTATATGGTGATAGGGTTAAATGAACAGACAGTATACAGACCTGATAGTAAGCAATCAGCGCCGCTCATGGGAACACCAGAAGAGTAAAAGATATTCTGCAACATTGTGGAATCTAGTGTGGGGGAGCCAATTCGGCTACGAATTCGGGTACGAATTGGCTGACTCGACCGGAGTGACACCACGGCCTCACAGAAAACTGACGTGAAACAACGCTTGTGTTGTGTTTAGTCGTTTCAGTGTGGTTACCGAACGCCCAATCTCCCCAATCTTCCTGAATCCCCAACAATCCTCAAATTCCTAATCCCCAAAAGGCCGGTAACGCACTTGTAACGCCTCTGGTGTTCCAGGTGTCCATGGGCGATGCCAATTGCTTACCTACCATCAGGTGATCCTTCTGCTCGTTTATCGGCAACCCCATAAAAAAATCTGGAACCTGTAATGGAGTGTGATGGTAATTAACGCTAATCAATTGTATGGGAAGATGAAACGAGTAAAAATACGTGAAAAAGATAATGCCTTACTTCTATTAAGTTAAACAGCCCAAAGCTTTCACAGTTTCTGACAATATTCCTGGACGTTAAAAAACCATATGAGCAGAGTCTACCTACAATTTAATGCATGCACTTATAGATAGCTAACAAATATGTGTATTCTTAGTATTGGACTTATAGG